GACAGAAACAAAATATAGAGAAACAGGGCCTATTTAGAGATAATGGGTGAAAATCTAATGGAAAAAGGGATTCTGCAAAGGTACATAAGATAGTATTGTTATATTAGAAATAGAAATAATTTCAGAAAATATGAAACAATGTATGATTAAAATGTTTGATAAAATAGCTATCGTAACTCAGTGGAATGCTTGTCAATAAATAAATGTAACAAAAGGTATATTTAATGATTTACAAAACATATGTGAAGAGAAATAAGGGAAAAATTAATTATGGAGATTATATGTGTCTTTAAGGAAGTATGATATTTAATTGAAAAGAAATGTTAAAGATGTTAAGATTTTAATGATTATTAATGATAGAACTGAATTGGAGTGGAATGAGGGTTTATAATTACATATATTTATAATCCTTTTTTTAAAAGAATATAGTGTGTATTATAAGAATGTACCAAGCAGAATTTGATTGGAAGTTATGTATTATGTATTATATTGAAGGTCATAACCTTAAGGTATATATTGAAGTTTAAATAAGAGTTGAATGGATATAATTAAAAGATATAAAGGTGTCATACTCCAATTGGTAACTACAGGAGAACATTTACTTAATGAGAAAAGATAATATGAAATTGAAACAGAACAGACAAAAGTATAAATATAATGATTTGAATTGAGATGAGATAATCAAAATAAAATTGAGAAAATTAAAAGAGGGGAAAAACTATATAGAAAATGTAGAATAGTATATGATATGGAATAGAACACAAAAATGAGCATGAAATTGAATGTGTGTCTGTATAAAGAAGTTCAACCCGGGACAATGCTATTTTCAAAAAAGATGTTTTACTTGTATTTTGTATGTGTGCAAACCCAAATAAAACTTTATTTAAAAAAAAGAAAAAGAAACACTGCCTTATGATCCAGAAACTACATTCTTCTCCAAAGATATTGGAAAAATAATCTGCATAAGGCAACAATAGACTGAACCTGCCAAGTGTTGTTGACCATTCACATTGCAGTAACCTACCTGAATACATCACACTGCTAGTTTTCACTCAACTATTTAGATTTACTGCAGATCCCTTGAAGCCTCTGCTTCAACACAATATTCTTTCAGCTCTTCAGAATGTTTTCTGCTTGCTTATATTAAATGATCTCTGGCTTTATATACAATCTAAATACCTATGATGAGGGTAGAAGATTGAGTCTTGGGACCGAACACACTGATTGCCGTATTTTGCAGAATAGTGAAGCTATTATTTGGTAACCACCCTTCATTACATATGAAAACCATTTGCAATGACATACTTATAGGATGGGAACAGCAGAAAAAAAGAAAGAAAAAAGAAAAAAATATATTCCCTTTGCTTGTCTCAGTTTATGCTAATTCATTCAATAAAACTAAATGGGTGGATGAAAATACTGCATGTGAATATATTTTAAAACCCTATTGGTTGCATTTTGGGTAAAAGGATATTTCCAGAGAAATGATATTTTATGGGAGAAGCAAGTAAAATGACATCCTTTGTGTAGATTAAAGCAGAGCAGATTCTCCATTTCTCTCCAAACCATGATCTTAATTTACTCTTCCAAACAACAGCATTCACATTAATAACTTGATAGAAGGCCTCATTTACTACTTAGAATGTAATTGCAACTCTTCTTTAGCTTCTCCTCGCGCATGGTCAAAATTGTATTAACTCATAGCACAGCAACAACATACAAATTATTCGACATCACATATAAAAGCTTCTGGGCTCTTTTATATTGTGATAATAAAACTTACAAAGTCTTGCCCTGGGTTGGGTGATTATATCCAAATACTTCCCTAGTCTGAAAGCTATTTGCTTTCAGTTGGGAAAGCAATTTAACTTGAGAAATTTCACCTACAGAGCATGAAAACAACGTATGTTGTATCAGAAACTCAAAAAACAAGATTTTCCAGTCATGAGAGCTATTTCCCCGTATTAGGAATCTCGAAAACAAACAGGCTTTATTTTAGATTTGAGACCCAGTTTAGTGTACTGGCAACATGGAGGAGACCATGAATCCCTATTTACGCACAAAGCCAGCTGGGTGACTGAAGGCGAGTCATTTCTTTCAGACACAGGAAGGAGGCAATGGCAAATCATTTCTGAAATATCTTGCAAATATATTTTTGCAGGGACTTGTTCAGGCACTCTCTGAGAATTCGATATGATTGAAAGGAAGAAAATAAAACATAAAAGCCTTATGTTAATTTGCAACTTGTTTTTTTGATGCCTCCCTTGATTGTAGCCCTCTAGATTTACTGATACCATGATAGCAATATTGTTTTTACATAGACAAAAGGAGAAACATAGAAATAGGATGTTCAGATTCTAAAGAATACTATAAAAAATCCATTAAATTACAAACATCAGAAATAACAGCAGATAGAATTTTTCATGGCTTACTTTTCCCTACCTTGGGGACATGAAAGAAAACTTTTTTGAATGGGGTGGCTATATTATTATCTTCCTATTAAACACTGTCATCTTGGTTTTCTATTGTGAAATATGTGCAACAACCACACTTCATTCAAAGTTTAAAACAGCCAATATAGAACTCCAAAGAGAGAATTTTGGAAATTGGACAATGAGAAAGAAATTAAATTACACCTATTCCTATAAAAATAAACACATGAAAAGTGAAGAAAAATGAAGATGGTAGAACACTGTGTTGCTCCAAAGTGAGGACTCTGTATTGGGAAGATGGTGTTGATCTAGACACCCAATAAGCCATCATATTTATAGTGCCAGCAGGATTACCTCCCCATCACAACCTGATTATCAAAAACATGTTAATGACATCCAATCCATTATTCAGTCATACTGTTTAAATGTATATTATCATTTTTATTGAATTGAATACTTTATTTGGCCATGTGTGATTAGACACACAAGGAATTTTCTCTGGTGCTCTCAGTGTACACGCAAAGCAATAGGATGATGATGATATCAATAATACCAATATAAGAGGGGAAAACAGAGAAGATAACAAGGATTAATAATACTACTGCAGCCATACTACATGGCTAATGCATAAATATTAGACAGAATGCATAACTCTATGCCAGGTCTGATTAGGTTGAGATCAGAGGTGGTATTCAGCAGGTTCTGACCAGTTCTAGAGAACCGGTAGGGGAAATTTTGAGTAGTTCAGAGAACCAGTGGTAACCTTCCCACCTTCCCAACCTTCCCAGGAGTGGGGAGGAAATGGAGATTTTACAGTATCCTTCCCCTGCCACGCCCACCAAGCCACACCCACAGAACCGGTAGTAAAAAAAAAATTGAATCCCACCACTGGTTGAGATTATATTATGATGATTCTGATAAATATTTTGGTTCTGATAGAAGTTTTTATTTTGTACCAATGTTTTTATTTAACATTTTTGTGAAAGATTAGAGGAAGCTATATTGAAATTTGGGCAAAATTTGTGTCACTAAGGTGGGTGATTGTTGCTTTAGCTTTATGGGTTGGAGATAACTAGAATCATAGTCCAAAGAACATAGAAGACATTGAAGAAGGCATTGAAGGCATAAAAGGGGTTGAAGATGACTGCACTGCTGTATTTTTTCACAGACTAAGAATTGAGAATCTAAGCATACCCATCCAACCATGCATCCAAACACTCTGCCATTCTACTCAGCTGAAGATATAGGTTTATATATACATCAAAGAAGAAATAACAAAGGGAACAGAAAGAGGCTGCTATTACTTTAAAAATTATTAGGAAAATGTATGTGCATAGATTCAAATTCAGAAATAGTGGCTACAACTTTAGTATTATGATAGAGAGAAGGACCAAGCTGAGTAGCTTGCTGTTCAAGGGACATATTGACAGACAGTTCCAGATCTTCTAACTTCTATTATGAATCTTTATTTTAAGCCAGATGACAACTGGATAGCAGTTCAAGCAGAGTGTATGTTAGGCCACACAGCCATCCTGAATAGATTTAAACATGCCAGGTGGGAGTAGAAGGAACAAGTGACAAAAGTGTAGAGTAGAGTGCAACAACATGCCATAAGTGTGAAGGGGGAGAGCTTGCATTATGAGGTCACCATACATATTTCATCCTTTTGGCATCATCATGATTAAACATGGACCCTTATGAACAGACATGCTAAAAAGAAGTAAAGTATGTCTAGCACCCCATAAACACTCATCTCTAATGAACTGCAAAGGCACTTTACTCAGAGAAAGCTGTGGTTGAAATTTACTAATAATAAATCTGCTCCAATTCAAAGTCTTTATAACAATGAATTACACAAACTTACCAGATAATAAACAATTTATAAAATCTCTTCAGCTATACAAATCTACCCACTCTTTTATACATATATAAAACAAATATTTGCAACATAATGTGTCAATGAACAGACATGGATAAATGATACAACCTGCAGTTACACAATAGATATTTCTTCTTAATTCAGCACCTGGATGAAAAAAGATGCAACTGCCACTGAAGAGAATATTATAAATGCAGGTCATTAATTACTTTGATCCAGATGTTTTAGCTCTTTTTTTAAAGCAATAATCTGATATTCTTTCTTATAAAATCCCAGCAAAAGATATGTTACTGTAAGTAGCAATTCCCAACTCAATCAGATATAATGCTAATATCCTAAGCTCGGTACAAAACGCAATGGCTAATATTCATTGCTTTTGTCCCCTTTTTTCTCTCTCTTTGATTAATACATTTACAGATATAACCTTTTTGAATAGACTTTGGGGCAAAATCTAGGCAATTTCTAAGGAGGAACAGAAGGCTTCTAAATGTAATAAAATTTCAAGAGGTTCCCCCTATAAGTTTATGAAGTCCAGAATCTACCTAATTTATCTAATTGTACCATTTTTGTTCCTTATCCTTCCAAATACTCTACAAACAAATCGACAAAACATACAAAAAATTCTGAAATCCTCTCTCTTTCTGTTCCCCAATTTTCTCCTCCCTCCCCCAGGAAGATTCCCCTCCTACCTGGAAGTGGGGCTCCTGGAGGATGCGGGCCAGTTCAGCGGCTGTGCTATCTTGCTGAGCAATGTGTGTGATGTCTTTAAGTATCTCCTGGACCAGCTCCAAATTGTTGTCCCGCACAGCCTCCAGCTTTGTCTCCTCCAGACGCTCATGAGCCTGCAAGGTGGATGGGGAAAGGGCAAAAAAGAAGGGATTAAAGGGACACATAAACAGATAAACCCATGCAAACCCTTTGTCCTCCTCCTACAGCCTTGTGTCCCGGCAGATAATGTAAGGATATTAAGTTATATTCTTTGGGTTCCCTAAAAATTCCAAGATCACCATTTTTAAGGATTGTTGATTTTTTTTTAAAAAAAAAATAAGCATAAAGGTCTTATAAAGATTTCTAGAATTAAATAGCTTTACGCAGTGGGTACTCGTCAAGCTTTGTCAAGTCTTTCTGAAGACAAACACAAAGAATGGGCTGTGCATGTTATAAAGAAAAAGAAGCCAAGTAACTACTCTTCTGTATGGAAACACACAACCCACTTGCTCAGAAACACAGCAAGGGGAACAGTGAGACAACTGAGAGCTTTTCCTGGCCCTCGGTGGCATGTAGCCAGAAATCAAACAGGTCTTTGCTTTATGAAAGATGAATAGCTGCTCTAGATAAGCCTCAAGCAGGGAAACAGACACAAAAGAGGAGCTAAAAATAATAGACTGGCAAATAGAGGCTTAACTTCAGTCATGGAAATTGGGGGAGGGTAAAAAGAGCAGGCTTAATATGAATCCTGTCTGGGAACCATTTTCGGTGCCAAAATAAGTGCAGGAAAATCCTGAAGTATTTTGCTGCTGCATTTATTTGGTTGAATAACGACCAATTCTTCATCCTAATCCTATAATGCTTGAGGATCAGGAAACTGATCACCTAGAACACAGGGAGAATACCATTTTGTCAGAACACTTCCATTATTTTTAATAGGAAAACGCCTGGGAGGAGTTTAGAGTCTTCTAGGCCAGTAACTTAACAACTTTAAGATGTGTGAATTTCGACTTCCAGCACGCTGGCAAGTTGGAGTCCATATGTATCTTAAAAGTTGCTGAGGTTGAGAAACACTGTTGTTAGGTATTGACTTCTTTGGGATGAGGATGGAGATGCTGAGAAGATTTAGGAGCTCAGGGCCTGCATAACTATTATGAACTTGTTCCAAGTAATCTCTAGCCTGATTCACAGTGGTAGCCAGGTGATAAATCCAGGCTTCACCTCAGAATAGTTGGTGTGTCATCTGAAAATTGAAGGTGCAATTGTGAATCATTTGCAGTATTTGGATCACTTTCTGTCACCCCTGATAATATTTGAAAGATCAAAGGACTAATTAAATGGTCCATTCCCTGAAGCCTTGTGGACTGAGACAGATTTTAGCAGACCTTAGGGATTTTCCTAGCAATTCAACAGGTCAAATTCTGCAATGGCTTCTCTCTTTTTGCTTATTCTGAGACGCTGCTTGGTTTACCAAATGAAGTGAGCTTGACTGAACAGGTAAAGTTCACTTTCAAGCTTACAATGTGACTCATTCCCCTTCCCCATTACCATGACCTCTTTCAGACAGACTCTTTTTGAGATGGTTTAAAATGCTTCTTTCCAGGTTTCCTGTTGCACTGCAATTTAAGAGATAAGCAGTCGACTATCTCTTGATTGTTCATATTGATTCTCCTTTGCACTTCTTTCCCAGCCTGCTCACAGCATCACACAAAAGTCTACTTGAAGAAGCTGAAAGAGGTCATCTATTAATTCCACAGCGAAGTTATCAGTAGGTCAATGATATGCAGATATTAATTTCTACTCCAGGTTAAGCTACCAAATGCAGAAGGGCCTTAAATCAGGTGTGTGAAGTCTGTGAACAGTTGAATGGGAAGGAACAAGCTTAAGTTGAATCTTTGTGAGATATGTGTTATTTATTCCAAAACCAAGTGGCTTTCTTCCAGCTCAGCTGTGCCACCGGGTGGGGTGTCCCTCTCTTTAAAAAAGCAACCGCACATTTGAGAGTACTGCTAGACTCAGGGCTACTGTTTGATAGGCAGACAGAAGCCATGGTTAGGAGAGCCTTTGCTGACAAATTCTGAGGATGAGTGAGCTGCAGCCCTTCTGGAATTGGAAGCCTTGGTGGAAATAAGCATATGCCTTCATTACTGATTAGACTACTATAACATAGTCAAGTTGAGGCTGTCTCTGAAGCTGGCCTTTAATGCAAAAAAACAAAAAAAGCCCTTTACACCCATGTAAGACTGATTCTGTTGTGAATACCAATAGGCTTCTGAGTACAGTCCAAATCTCTGGTTTTTAAACCATAAGAAACTACCATCTCTTTCAGGCAGAGCTGATGTAACCAGTCTGATAATTCTGAGCAGGGATATTGAGGGTCCCCCCAGGATACATGGGGGGCAGAGGGCATGTTTTTTTTTTCATTTTCATTTTTTCCCCAGTAGCCTGCCCCTTGATTTTCCTCCTTTCTTGACAGTCTTTAGAAAGGCATTTATGTTTTTAATTTTGAATTGTAAGCACTGATGCTAGAATAACAGATAACAGGGTGGTTAATGATTACTGTTTTGCAATTACTTTATTGATTTTAGGTATGACACTGTAAATCATTGGGAGTCTTCTTAGGGGACAGCAAAATAGTCAGAGGGATGTTTCTCACTCTTGACAACATTGGTGGAAAATTCTGGAAGCTGAAGTCCACACATCTTAAAGTTGCCAAGGTTGAGAAATACTGGCCTCAGGAATTCAGACTGATAGGTTAAACATTTTAAACATTCCTTTAAAGACCAACAATAGATCAACTGCTGCTTGCCTTTCACCATATACTGTATTACTTATATGAGTTTATTTTTCTTTCATTATATTGCATTTCTTATGGCTTCTAATATGTGCAAATCTGGAGTCGTTAATTACAGGAAACAAGAGGGGCAGAAATGAATAACGGAAAAAGAGGGAGAGACAACAATTCAGTTCTAATTGTTTCTTGGGCAGGAGTCTTCTAGGTTGCTTGGAAGTTTTATCTTAGGTTTGGAAGTAGCTCTCCAGATTTTGCTAAACAATAACTCCCAGCAGTCCCAATTAGCCTGTTTAATTGTGAAAACTTCTGAAAATTGTAGTTAGCAATATACTGATAGTCATAAATTGGTAGCACATTGGTAGCACAACTGGTAGCACATTGAGATTCAGAGTTCTAACTCAAGATATAAAAGACCACTTTCAAATTGGTCTACTTCAGACATATTTTGTGAAGACTTAGCTCTTTGGAAAAGGCTCCAATGTTAAGAAAGATAGAAGGAAAGCGAAGTGGATAGACAGCAGCAAGGTAGATAGATTACTTATAGTGTGAAGAGCACACCATTGGGAGACTTGGAAGACCATATAAAGAACAGATTGCCACAGAGAAAATTTACCTTTATGATCGCTAGGGATAAAAAATGATGGCACAAAATCACCTCATCTATCAATCATGAGCCAACATTCAGGATGGTGGAAGAGGAAAATGACAGTTTATGAAATGTACTATCACCACCTACTCCAATAGACTCTAGACATCTTACAAGATATACAACTAAAACAGTTTAAAACACAAAACAAAACAGCATGGGCTAAAAACAACCATACCAAATTATTTTGGCTGATCTAAAAAAAAACCCTAAGATTTGGTTAGTACTTGGTTGGGAGCCCATCAAGAACTCACAGGCTATAAAATAAATTAAGTCTAAAACAGACCAGAGCAGACAATGACAAACCACTTCCACATTGTTGTCAACAAAACAGAAGTAGTGCAACTACTGGTATTACCCATCGAGTTATTGAGTTCAGCTTCATGTTTTTCTAGGAACAATTACAAATAAAAAAATGCATGCTACCGTAGTAAATGCTGGGAATCTAATGGTAATTGTTGAAGATGCCGGGAAAGAACAGAAAGAAGTGGTGGATCAAGCATTAAAAGGCCAGCAAAAATCAATAGTCTTTCTTAGTATGAAGGAAAGATTTAGATAAAATTATGAAGAATTTCTGAATCAATAAGTAATTTCCCAGGAGAGAAGATGAGAGGAGATACTGCAGAATCACCAAACTGGCGTCATCCAGGATTCTATAAGTTCAGAAACTCTTAAACAAGATTTTGCATATGGACAGTACATTATAACTCTTTTGTCCCAAGGAGCAGCTTTCTTTCTTTTGTAATTCTCATTTTCCTGGTTAGTCTTGCCACTAAGAATAGATTCTGCAGCTGTAAATAGTGATTTTTTTTCAGTAAGCAGTTATCAAAATTAATAATTATATTCATAAACAAAATGGATTGATTTTTTTTATGAATGTAAGGTACAAATTTATTCATGAGGAAGGAAGGACAGAGGAGGGACAAAGGAATAGGGGAAACTGTCAACTCAACTATTTGGAAAAATGTGTTATGGCCAAGACTGAGAAAGAGTAAGTGATGTAGTGCAGAGGTCTCCATACTTGGCAACGTTAAGACTTGTGGGTTTCCAGAATTCTCCAGCCAGCTATTGAAGTCCACAAGTCTTACAGTTGCCAAGTTTGGGATGTAGTGGAAGTGAGTGGAACTGAAGGTGCAGGATTTGCTCAGCTACAATCCCATCCCTAGCTACCCATTTAACTGTACCTTAGCCAATGACCTTACTATTGGACTCTCCATGAGGCCACGGAGAAAGATGAGATCCAGATCTCCAGCTCCCATGGAATTGGGGAGGTCACTGAGGTTGTCCAGGACCTGCTGCATAGCTGTGTAGAGAAATGATAGCACTAGCATTAGTCTTAATAAAATAAAAATAATGAAAAACAGAGAGTTAATCTACCCACTCTCTAACCTTTCAAGAGATGGAAAAGGGGGAGATGAAAAGTAACACATCTTGAATATGTAGAACAGATATGAAACCATATGGGCATTCAAAAACAAAGTTGAAGTGGAAAGAATTCTTAGAAATATGCATAGTGGGGAGGAAATGTATAAAATTTAATAAATATTTATGAGTCATTCATTCACAAATACTGACACAAATCTCTTCTTACAAGTTACCAGCCAACAGCTTTGTCCAGAAATTCTACCACTAGTACTAAGAAAAGAAGGCAATTTGTGATTATCTTTTTTTTTCTCCCAGCAGCACTTTAGGATTTCTCAAATAAATTGGACTTCTTATCTTCAGGTTTTTTTCCAGAATGATTCTCAAGTACTGCAGTGTCACTTCAAGTACTGCAGGGTCACTTCACTGCAGAGACAGATGCCTTTGTGTTTAGATTACAAAATAAATTCCCTATTGAATG